TACACCAAACCAAGCTTCTGCCACCCTGGCGTCCTCTTCCACAACATCTTCATCCCCACTTTCCACTGAATAAAAAATGTATGACGGAAGAGACTCATCCACGACCTCCGACACAATACTCTCCTCCTCTTGCATGTTTCCGCTGTCCATAGCGTTCCTTGACAGTGTCGTTCTTAAGTCACCAATTTAGTGCTACTGGGTCCCAATGGAATTTCCCATAGGGAACCTTCTAGCACTAAGTTGCTAACTGGTTAGCAAGATGCTTCTGAGACACCGGCCACAACCAAACTTTCTTGCGAACCTTCCGCCACAACAATCCCGCCCCCTTGATAATCAACCAATCACATTCACTTTATTATCTCCTGTAAAGTTGGCCACCACTAGGGAGAATTCAGAAATGCAACGGTTGGAATTGTTGTTTTCCCTACGACTTTAACTAAAGACAAAAAAACATGCATTTGGATCCATCTGAACTTATCTTTTGATTTAACATGATTCCCATTTCATGTATGTAATAATTAGGAGGGTATATTAGCATGTTGGATTTAACCTGAAGTTTCTACACAGCTGCAAGTATCCTAAAGTTGAAGATAAGGAATGAACCAAAATGGTTTTGTTATCTGGTATACTGAGAGACAGCTTGGGCTTTAAGTTCAAGAAGACTATGTTCAAAAGCTAATCAAAAAGTGCTGTAAGAAATGTAGCTCCCTAAAATAATCTATTTCCTGGTCACACAGCAGGCGCAGTTGGTTCACATGGGTTGGTGCTTGGCACATACAAATTTATTCTCATCACCAGTCTCGTATCCACTTAACATAATTTGTAAACGTAAAGAAAAGGGGAACAGAAAATATATTGTAAATTTCCCCAATAATAAACACTGGATCACCAGTTATTCCCTTTCTCCCTTCCTGAAGGGAAAGGGGAAAGGGAATTATTGAGCAGCACACAGAAGCAACTCAAGGTCAAGATCAGAGAAAGCAAGGAGTAGAAAAGGCTTTTTATTGGACTGAAAAATAACACATCACATTTTAACAAAGAAGCTGCATTACAGCTCAGTCACTCTGTACATTATTGCCACTGTTTTTTTCTTTTTTTTAAATATACTTGTGTCCCATCTCCTGAAAGGGATAAATACTTCTTCTATTATCTAGACCTGTACCAATATTCACAATGAAAACATACATACAGTTTTTATTCAACACATACATATAGGCTATCATACGCTTCGATCTCATATTTTTATTTCATCGCCATTAATCTGTAAATCCTTAGATCGGTTACTAATTTATCCTCAATAGTTTGTGGGTTATTAAATGAGATATTTTTACAACATGTGTTCACAGAATATAATACAGACACAGTAAACAGCTGCG